TTGTTGGAGCTATTTAATATTTCATTTATGGTATGTTGAAATGAAGAGAACAGAAATTATTTCCCATATCTCTCAAGTTGACATATCCAGACTAAATGATTGGCTGGGGACTTGAATTCATTTTTTCCATCCATTTGCTTTATAAGTAATTTCAGTGCAATAAACTTATAAATTGCTCCACCCCGGCCACATCTTAGAGTACCTAGTAATAAAAAAAAAAAAAAAAAAATTTTTTTTTCTTTACAGTAACAGATGAGGAGGGCTGAAAGATTGTCTGAAATTTGATAATGGAAAAAAAAAAATCATGAACCCAAACAATGGTAATGATAGCAACTTATTTCAAAATTAGAATGTGAAATGAAATTTTTTCATTTTTTTAAAACTATCACTCAGTATAGGAATATATTGGCTGGACTGGCTTCTTAGTAAATTTGAACCCTATTACAGATTGTGCTGTATGAACACATGTGTACATACATTGAAATACTCAATCAGCTATGAAATTCTAATCAGAAGTTTGCTGAAAAAAAGTAAAATAAAAAACAAAATAAAAAAAATGAAATAAAAACCAACTCAGGCAGTATTAGTGGTATTTTTGAATTTTATACAAACTGTGCACATTTCAGACAGCTTACTTTACAAGAAACATTTTATTTACAATAGAGCACAGACACTGACATCAAGAGTAGAAATTTTGGCCATAGTTTGAGAAACTAAACTCCTACCTTCCCACTGAGAATGAGGACATTTCCAATTATTGGGGAAAGGAAACACAATTTACATTCAAAATTGTTTATTTCTTAACTTGACCAATGTTAAATAAAAAGCAATTCTTTTGAAGAGAGATGGTTTAAATGCAGCTTTTCCTGGAGGGTTGGAATCTTTTTTTTTTTTTTGCTCTGGGTTTTGTTTTAATTTTGTTCAAAACACCAGAGTGGTCTTTTGGAGTCTCTCAAATTTGCTTATCTTAAAATCTGTTGTATCATTTTACAGCAACAACTTTCTAGAGTCAATATTTAAAGAATTTTTCTCTTTAAGCAAATATACAGTGGCTTTACCATCAAAAGCACCCATTTTCCCCACATGCTATATCTCTGAACTGACAGGCATTGACTAATCTTTTTTTGTTTTGGCTTTTAAAATGAAGACATTTGTTTTAACATTTTATTCATTCATTTCAAATATACACAACTGTTTTATGTGCCATTTTCTAAATCTAAAAATGTGTCCTCAGTCTAAATGGGGAGACAAACTGGAATCACTGTTTCTCTAATGAGACCAAAGTTTTGCTGTTTTTATTCATTTATTGTGTCTTGTCTTCTTGTTGGTTTTTCAATTGCACAAATAAATATTTTATAAAAAGAAAAAAAAAATCCCAAAACTTGAACAGTTTAAGAGGTGGGAAAATGTTATGACATTAATGGTGGTAGATGGTATGAACACTTGTGTATGTCCCACAATCAATTTGGTTGGAACTTTAGTCTTAAGTTTTGAGATATAATGAACATGAGATGCTGTACTTTGCCCCCGGAATTGTTTCTACGATTCTCACAAATTCCATCAGAGCATTCTGCCCCATTGTTTTTTTTTTTTTCTAATGCTCAAATGCCATCACAGTGCAATAAAGCCTTTGTATTGTTGTAAATACATAAACAAACACTGATGAAGTAGCCAGTGGTAGGGTGAGAACTCCGAGTAAGATCAATATTGCTTAGCCAGTCACTCCTAAATATGCAATAATTCAACCCCCCACCAACCACACAGATTTAGACTGAATGAGGTTTATGCATGAATAGCAAATTCAGAGAAAGAGAGGTAACTAAAATTTCAGTCAGTTACTCAACTAGTTAGTAAACTATATTTTAGGGAAAAAACTATGACAAAGTGGAAATGTTTTTGTGTGACATGTTTCACCCTTTAGGACTAAAGTGATGTTTATATTGACTACATATACGCTTGAAGGAATGAGGACACTGAAAATTTTAAAATTAAAAAAATATATAAAATTTTGGGTTTATAGTAGTCAAATTCATTTAACTTCTTTTTGTTTATATATCCATCACTTTTGTTATTAAATATCTTGGTTCTTACGTTTCAACTTCCTTGGCAGATCTATTCTCACAATTTAGGATATTTAATAGCAATAGTGATAAAAACAAAGAAAAAGAAACTAAATTAAATTGGCTAGATGAGATACCCAAAACATATAGAAAAATATAATTAAATTTAAAATTTCAGTAACTACTTTCCTTGGTGTGCATGTGAAATCACATCAAAGTAGACATCGCTTTATGTAATCCCATCAATGTAAACATTGCTTTATCCAATGAAGTCCTAAAGAATGAAACTTATCACACAAAAACTTTTCCTATAGTTTGTTTCCTTAAAATTGTTATATATGTAAGTTGTGCCCTCATACAATGAAGTTCCATTGTGTTATTGGATCACAAAATAGACTGAAAGGATACCCTGCTTTGTATTAAGAAGAAAAGTTCATTCAAATGCAAGCAGACTAAGATGGTAAATGCACTGAGAGGCTGGTTTAGACTATATTTTTTCTTGAGCAAATTAAAAAATACGACAAGTAAATTAAAAAGACAAGTGAACTGAATTGATGAATATGAGTAATCACATATACATACATCTACTGCTAGTCGCTGTAAATGTTATTTTTTTTTTAAAGTGAAATTAGTTGAAACTTGTCTCTTAATATATACAATAATGACTTTTTTGTTTTTAGTTTGCTTGTCTTTTTTTTTTGCTCAGAAAAGTTATAGCTGATTTAGCAGTGGGTTCTTCCAAAATTGTGGAAAGCAAATAAAACTATATTAAATAACTTTGAACATTTCTTGGACTCTCTCTGTTAGTCCTTTTCAAAACTACCCATTTGGCAAGTGTTCTAATCACAGGAGAGGTTTGGGATAAAGGATAGGTGATGGTATTGCCAAAAATCATACTGTTAGGAAATTGGTATTTTGCCCGATTCCAAAACACATGTTATCCCATCTTCCACTGTTATTTTGTAAACTATTCAGAATAGCTATTTGGTATTTATTTCTTGGGATATTAAAGATTAAAAATTATTATGAAAAAAAAAAAAAAAGCCTTTGCATACAAATATTTTCTTTTGTTGAAAGAAATTTCAATTAATATTTTTGGGGGAGCTATTACGTATATGAAAAGAAATAAAAATTTTAACATAACTAAAACAATTCAGAATTTATGGCAAACAATTTTCTTTTAAATGTAAAGAAATAGACTAAGATATAAAATAAAAAAAATTTTTTTTTTTTTTTGTGTTCAACCAAAAATTCTTTTGTTGTTTCAAATCATTACTTTGTCATGTTTTGTTGATCTCTTGCTAATTTTGAATTCAAACTTGCAGAACAATTTTATAAAAATTTTTTAACAACTACCAGTTTATTTTTTAAAATTTTCTTTCCTTCTTGACTATGGCATTTCCTTTGACAATTAGTAGAGATATGCCTAAAAGAAAATGTACAAAAGTGCCTGGCATATATAAACAATGAAGTATGTCATTATATGATTTCTGGATGAATGGACCCTTTCTTGGTAGAAATACAAACCATGTCAATGTTGCTATTTTACACTGGTCCTTTGTCTTGGACAAAGGGTTTCCTCCTCAGTCTTTTGAATCCTAGTTGAGTTATCTGAGTGTAATCAAGTTGGCACTTGGAAGAGTACCTCTGGCCTCTCTGCAATGATATATCCTGTGAGCCAAATGTGCAATCACTTAATTCAGTGTAATTGTATGATATCCAAGTTGCATCCAATAATGAGACAGAATGTAAATGCATGGATCTTGCTGTGGAATAATAAACAGTCCAATGAGATATAGGCACCAGAAAATCTTGGAGATGTTTGAAATGTTCCAGTCTGTATAAGTGTGTGAGTGTATGTTTATCTAAGTGAGGGAGGTGGGATAAGAAACAAAATGAAAAAAAAAAGTTAAAAAAAAAAAAAAAAAATCTTAAATGAAATTTTGACAGGTGATTCTTTCACAAATGTACTTCAGTACATGTATAGAATTCTCTGCAAACAATGTTTGAACCCCCCCAAACCAGACTGCCAATCTAGTATATGTAACCCATGCTCTAAAATGAAAGCTCTGCATTTTTCTCTTGGTTGTGGCGGCCCAGATCATCAAGTGAGGAAGTGAATTTGAACCCCTTTTTTCTTGGTTTCTTTATGGCTATATTATTTGTTTATCCCTACATGTATGGAAGTACATTGCTGAAAAAAATCAAATAAAACAAGCCCTATTCAATAATTAGATGCAAGTACTTTCCACAATTGTGTACATGGCCAACATGGTCCGAAGATCTCAACATTGATTGACAGTTGAACACTGAAGCAATGAATGACTGATGTCAGTTTGCATTTCTTAACAACGGAGGCAGTGTTTTTCCTGATCTTATATTTCGGATACACTTAAAAATCAATCTCTTTTCAAGCACATAGAAAAAAATCTGCACAAATTAATCTTATTGATAAAACTCAAAAATGAATATTGTGAGCTGGAGAGAAATCTCTCTTTCATTCAATGGAAGATCCCTCTGTTCCCATGGGTACCATAGATTTTGCAAGCACTAACTACAAGTAGAGGTGTAGCTAGCCATGGCTTTAAATCATTTTTCTCCTTTTATGACGTTTTCTAATAATGAGTGTCTTCAATCTGGTACTTAGAATGTGTACTGCTATGAAAATGCTGGTATTTAGAATAACTCTAATGGAGTAAAACAGAGGTGGTAGAGATTGTGACAGGTGTGAACTGAGTTTCATCATTAAAATTAATCCAGGTATATATATTTTTAAATATTTGTTTTCTATGAGCTTAAGAAGAATATTGATTTTGTGGATAGTCTTTTATATAAAGTTGTATCAGAAGTATGTAGATAGGTAAACAGGAGTACTTCTACCTCTTTAAAAGAAACAATGAATGTTTTTTTTTTTTTTTTAACTACATTTTGAAAATGTCTTTATGCCATACGCAATGTAACTATGTTTTTCCGGCAGGGCTTTCTGTTCAAATCTTCCATGGCCTTCAGGGCCTCATCCAGGGTGATAAACCCAATCAGGGAATTACCAGTTGGTCGGTTATCTTCGGCGTAGTGGAGTCGAATAGACTCAGGCACCGGATAATAGCCTCGGAAGAAGTTAAGAATTTCCCCAATTGAAACTGACGGGGGGAAGTTCTCTCCTCTTAAGTAATGGTATTGTTTACCACCAGGCATCATGAATGGTGGCCCTGAAGGGTCCATGTTGTTTGGCATGTTACCTTGTCGTGCCTGTTTTAAATGATCTATCATGTCAGCCTTTGTGATAGCCTGGACGTTAACGTAACGCTTCCCTATGTACCGCTTATCACGTGACAGGGCCTTTTCGCAATCAATGCTCGTCACAAACTCAACAAATGCCTGACCTGTAGTACGACCGTCTTTTCCATAGACAATCTGTATACCACGAGGTGCAATATTTAGACCCTGGAAGAATTCTTTAATCTCGTTAAGAGTTACAGCAAAGGGGAGACCTTTGAGACTGACACAATAATACCGGGTGTTGCGTCCAGTTACCGTCTCATTTTTCTTTGTTTCACCAGCAGGGCCAAGTTTTTTCTCAGGTGTCTTCTGGTCTTGACCTTTGCTTGCAGGTTGCTGAGCATCAGTTTTAGTGGCTGGCGTTGTTTTTGGTTCTGTTTTGACTGGAGTCTTTGGTGAGTCTTTTTGATTTTTAACAGGCAAGGTTTTGTCAGGAGTGTTCTTCTTTTCTTTCTCTTGGAGTGCAATCAAATCTTTCTTTGATGCAGTGATGATACGGATCATCCTACCCCCCATGTGACGCCCATCGAACGAAAGCGCCGTCTCGCAGTCCTTCTGTGAAGCAATCTCAATGTAAGCTATTCCAGTGTTCTTGCCTCGAGAGTCATGTTCAATTACAATTGAATTGCTAGGGTCATTAATCTGAACATCCTTGAGGAAGTTCACCAAATCCTCACTCGTTGCATTAAGCGTTATGCCTTTGAGTTGAATAACGCTTGATGATGATACAGAACCACTTGTATCCAACGCAGGAGCCAAGTTTATCTCCTTGGTTGTTTTTGTTGGGGCTGGTTCAGTCTCTTTGGGTGGTGTCCTCATGTTAGATGGTACATCATCCTTGGAATCATTATCGGAATCGACCTTCATCATTTTGTTGGGAGGGGGCCCATGTTGGTTTTTGGGCACATATGAATCTACAGCATTTTCAAAAACCTCTTGGGTACAACTGTAGATTTCGATATAACGGCTACCCAAAAAGTTGCCATGGCGTTTAAATGCCTCCGCTGCATCCTGCTTGGTGGCAAATTTAATGAAAGCATTTCCTGCACGCCGCCCTTTCTCATTGTTGATGATTTTTAGTCCGTCTCGTGGAATGACACAACCTGAGAAGAAACGTCGCACGTCCCTATAACCAACAGTAAAGGGCAAACCCACAACCTCGATATACAAATCAGATTCTCTGTGACCTCGTTTTACTCCTCTCATTTGATTCTCATCCACATTACCGGGTCTCATCCCAGTTTCAGGGCCATAATTCATTTCATTTTGAGGCCCATAATTTCGGTCATCCATATGCATTCGTCCAGGAGGGGGGCCCCTATCATTTCGGTTTGGGCCATCATATCTTCCATATTGATCATTTCTTCCAAACGGAGGGGGACCATCATTTCTAGGATAAGGGGGTTGGTTTGGAGGCATCTCATTCCAGGAACCAGGCCGAGGGAATGGAGGTCTCATGTTCATACCTTCATTGTGCCATTCAGCTTGGTAGTCCTCACGTGGCTGGTCTCCATGTCTCATGTCATCCCTCATTCCATACCCTTCATCCCACTTGCCATCATTTGGTTCACCTTGTACCCCATGGAATCCTGGGGGAGCGTCACCTAAGAGCCCTCTAGGCAATCCCATTGGATCATTTTCTTCATATATATTCTGCTTCCCCTCATACATACCACACTCCTTATTCATGCCAGGTCCACTGAATGGGGGTCCATCATGATGAACAGGGGGCCTTTCTCCAAATCTTTGCCCATCACCAGGATATCCTTGATCATGTGGAGGTGGACCATAGTCATAATCCCTTCTGCCATCACCTCCATATTCATTTTTAGGTCTGCCACCTCTGTTCATTGGACCTCCTCGGTTCATGTGCCCACCACGGTTCATCGGACCTCCAACATCCATGCGACCTTTCCTTGCATTGTTCAGGTCTCCTTGTCTGGGTGGCATATTTCCAGAGCTCATATTTTTGTAGGAATCTGGTTGAGAACCACTTGCCCCACTCGTGTGTTGGTCTGCCCCAGATGTATCAGACTTTTGGGGCTCATCTCTTCCAGGTCGATCAAATTCTCTTGAGCTCGGTCCACCTCTTGGTTTATCGCTTCCGCGGCTGCTATCATGTCGCGATTCATTCCTAGATTCATATCGACTACTAGAATCATGTCGGCTATCATATCGTCCTCCATCATATCTTCCTTCATGCCGGCTCCCACTGTCATAGTGTCCATCATATCTGGAATCTCTGCGGTTATCTCGGCGGTCATAACGGCTTCCATCATCGCGACTCCGTTCATGTCGGTCATATCTGCTTCCTTCATCTCGATTTCGATCATGTCTGTCATGTCTTCCAGAATCATACCTGCTCCCAGAATCATACCTGCTTGAAGATTCAGACCGGGAATCATGACGAGACTCAGATTTGGAATCATGACGACCAGAATCAGACCGACTTGAATCGTGTCTTGCAGAATCTGTTTTGGCCAAATCACTTCTACTAGAGTCAGTTCGTGCTGTTTCAGTTCTTGGAGCATCAGGTCTTCCTGAAGATCCCAGGCGACTGGGATCAGATCTGTTTGCACTCAGTCGTGCTGTCTCTTGTCTGAGAGATTCAGTTCTTTCTAGATTTGACCGACCATGTTCTGTTCTGGGTGCATCTGGTCGGGGTGGTTCATGACGAGGGGAATCAAATCGCGATTCATGTCTCACCCCATCAGATCTATTGGGATAGTTTCGCCCTGCATCTGGGCGACCCAAGTCAGGTCTCACAGGCTCTTGTCGTCGCAGGTCTGGTTTCCCAGGTTCATGTCGACCCATGTCTGGTCTGTTGGGAGGTTCATGTCGACCCATATCAGGTCTTCCTGGGGGTTCATGCCGACCTATTTCAGATCTGTTAGGCTCATTACGACCTATAGTTATGTGTGGACCTGGATCAGGTTTAACATCTGGTCGGTTAACCTCATTAGGTCGGGGAACATCTGGCCTGTTCATAATGTCTTTCACTATAGGAGGACAAGGAACATGTCTCATAGGTTCAGAACGTGGTGGTCCCTGCTGATAGTCAATACGTCCTAGTTCAGGCCTTTTCATATCAACTGGTGGCATATGATGGACACCTGTGTCTGGTCTCAGATTTCCTCTATTCACACCAAAATCCTCCTCAACACGCCGTTCTGCAGAATATGGGGGCCGGATGTCTGTTCCTGGAGGTTTAACAGTCATGTCTGGAGGTTGCATGGCTGTGTTTGGCATAGGAATATTCCTTGGAACATCTGGAGGTGGGAAATTCTGGAAAGTAGGTCTCATGTTGGCAAACCCACCTGCAGCATTTGCATTGCCAAAGCGTCTTTGGTCATTTCCCTGTGGATCTTGACCAGGTGGGAAATTTGGTCTTCTGTTTTGGAAATCATTAGTGCCACCATCTGGTGGCCGAAATTCCATGTTTTGTCGGTTGGCATTATTATCTTGCTCTGTAGAGACAAAGTAATTTTCTCGTGGTATATTGGGCTGGTTTGGGAAGTTTGCAGGTTGGGGTCCAGGAAAAGGGACTATTCCAGGAACCATAGCATTAGTAGGAGGGGCTGTGTTGGAGTGCATGTCAACAGGGATTATTGGAAAATCCCTCCGATTAGGATAATCTAAGTTTCTCTGAGGCGGTACGCTCATGTCTGGAACAAAATTACTGTGATTTGGTGGACCAATTGGATGCATGTGGTCGTTAGGGGGTCTGGTGGGTGGCACCGTTGCCAGCGGTGGGAGCGGAGGGAGTACAGTGGCCTGCTTGGCGTATGCCTGATTAGGCACTGCCTCGCGGGCCAGTGCTATAACATTCTGCATTTCTGTCTTGCTGCTTAGCAACAGTTGTACTGTCTGACCGTTTATCTGGCCATTTGTACGCAGCATTGCTTGCCGCGCATCTTCATCCGAGCCAAATGCAATGAACGCATCACCCCGGTCCCCGCCAACAATGTGTACCCCGCCATCTGGAATGCTGAGTCCTTGAAAGTATTGTCGAATGTCCATCGCACTGGCCGACCATGGCAGGCCTTGGAGACGAATAATGACAGACATTGTTTCTGAAAGTAGAAAAAAAAAAAAAAAAATTATTTTAAGCATTTTTTTTTTTTTTATTGAAAAATACTTTTTTCCTCAGTCAAGATGATTTGTTGATTATGCATGAGATAAATTCTAACAGTGCAACAAATTAGTCTACAAATTGGTTTTACTATTGTTATTAGTGTTATTATTAATATCTGAATTTCAACCATCTAAAGATGATTCATATAAATGGAAAAATGTTTGAATTCATTTCTATGGATAGTATTCTGAAAATGACAGAAATGTAAGAAACGCTATAACGAACATAAATCAAACAGTTTCTTAGACTTCGAATCAACTCCTTACCTTATAATATGAAAATTATTAATTCTTTCAGAGGTGATAAATATTGGATAAATGATTAAAAACAAAATCTGGGGAAAATTGAAATAGTGTGTAAAAGACAGAACCTGAAAGGAAATTTTGTTCATATGAATATACAGAAAGTCAAATAGTAAAAATATATACACTTTGGATGCCATGTATGTAAATGTGATTGCTAATAAATTTACTTAGAGATTTATTAACAAAAAAAAAAAAAAAAGATACAAACATTCTTGTATTATGACAAACCATAAATGGAGCAAGAGAGAGAGAGTGTTGAAAAATGCAATTTTGCCAACAGATTCACTTCTTGTAATGTTACAACTTAAACGAAAAATAAATTTGCATTCTTTTCTTGCAATGGTTGAAACTGAAATGAAAAATGAAATAAGCATTCAAATAGGAATTAAACAAAGCCTGCTTGGTAGCTGAGATAGTTGCCTATTTCACACTTGCACAGTTGATTGGTGTTTTAACCAAGATAAAAAGTCAGGATCTTGTACCTCTCCTTTTCAATTGGAAGATTGGTGCAACAAAACCCCCAATACATCAAGTTGTGTGTCTGGACCAGAAAAATAGCAGGAATACATTCTAAAGCTGAAGAGACACAGGATTTCACTGTGACTAAGAGTTTTACATGCAAACCACTTGAAGATCAGTTTGTGCATGAAACTATAAGTCACAGTAAGGTCATGTTCTTGCATAAGCATTCCTAACAATTTTTTGTTTACAGTTTAATTAAATATGGTTGCTCAAACGTGACCAATTTTTCACATTGAAAATGGCTCTTATGAAGAATTGTGAGGTGAAAAAACAGTTAGAATATTTGTAGAAAAACTTTTTTTAATGTGTGAATAAATTTTAAGAAGTGCATATAACCTCACGAAATCCAATTCCAGGAAGAAAGCACTCAGTTTCTACCAGGATATTTATTGAATTCCATCAAAAAGAGGGTGAAGAGAAATCCATGAAGAAGCAAGAGGAAGAGATGGCAAAAAGAACTGGATATTTTGTATAGGTTGCTAAGGAGAATTGTGAAAGAAGATTTAGGGCTAAAATCATTCAGGATTCAATGATGACAGATTCTCTTAAGTACCTCCCAGCAAAAACAGCTTAGCAGAGGGAAAAAAAATGTTGGAGGAGATTCAGTGTACTGCAGACAAAACCTGATTGGTCGGATGAGAAGTTTTTCACTGTGGAGGTTGTGGTCAGTTATCAAAATGATAGGGTTTATGCAGTGGCATAGCTAGTATATGCTTCCCAGAGCAGCCCTCAAGTACCCACCTGAGCCAAATACATATTGCATGGTGGCTCACCCTTAAAGTTATAAAAACTAGTTTGTGTATTATTACAATATCATTTTCACATACTCAAACTTTACAGTAACAATTAAAAGGCAAAAATCACATATAGGGAAAAAAAGTATAAAAAAATTAGGAACATCTTTATTGAAATGAAAATTACAACCTTCTTAAAAGTAACTTTTCTTGCTTTTTTGTTGGCAAATTCTTCAATATCAAAAACTAATTCATCTGTCAATTGTCACTATAGACAGTAGATAGACTAAATATATATGCCATAGTTTAAATTATTCAAAATCAAAACGATCTTTCAACTGTGAGTAGTGTTCTGACATTAAAACCACTTTTATTTCAATACAGACTATACAAGCTTGTAGCCTAAAACAAGCACAAAAGTGATGTTCAGGTCAGACTGTCCCCCTCTATCTACACTACTAGGTTTATGTTACTTCTGGAACACATTTAAAGTGACAAAAGTCAATTGGTGTCATGGTTTGGGCTGCTGTTGCTTCTGATGGCTTGAAATTGCCCTTGGTGTTCATTGAAGAAGGTAAGTGAATAGCAGAGTTTACCAGCAAATGTTGGAAACAGATGTGTTGCCCTGGTTGCTATCCACATTTCAAAGTCACTATGTTTTCATTCAAGATGGAGCTCATGTACAAATTCACTCAGAACTGGTGCAAGAGACATTTTTGTAGATTTTTTTTAACAAGTCAATTAGGCCACCATCAAGCCCTGACATCAATCCTATGAACTTTGTGATATGGCCCATATTGGAGAGCAATGTTTCATGTATCTTATATTTAAGTGTGTCAGACATGAAAGACGTTCTTATGGTACAATTTAAGCAATGAGCTGGTGAAGAAGTCATGCACTTCAGTTGAGAAGAGATTAAGGGTTATGATGAAATCAAGGGATGTAGCCTTTCTTTGTACTCATCCCAATAATAATCCATCTGTTTTATTTCTGTTTGTTACAAAATAGGAAAATAAAATCATTTTTATACAGAAAGAATATTAATTGCAACATAAAATAATGTGTGAAAATTTATTTTTCTTTTCTTGTTTTTAACATTTCTACACCATAAGAAAAAATAATTTTTCTAAATTGTAAACCTGTCTTTTTTTAAAAAACCAACAATTGATTCATTCTGATTATGAATTAGTAGAAATACAAGTAATTTTTTTTTAAATGTCGGAGTTTAAGGACCAAGCACATCAAATTTCATTGTAGCCTTTATTGCGCACTTGACAACAATTTCTTTTTTTTAACTGATGTTTCTCCAGTTCCCTTTTCTTTAATATCTAAACTGAATTGCAACAGCTGTGCTTACAAGGTTTACTTGAGTGCTTTCCTATTGCTATCTCCACAGTTTTAAATTTAGAGTTGTCTTTTGCCTAGACTTTGAAAACTAAAGAGCCCATCATGGTTTACTATTTAACCCATATTGTTTATTTTTCAAATTAGACCATTTTAAAAAATTTTAAATCTCACTATGATGTGCTGTTTTATAGTAACAAATGTACAGAAATCAGATCCTAATATAGTTGTGCTCATCATAAAAGCTTTTTATTTTATTAAAGTTATTTTTTTTTCTGAAGAAACATCTATAATCAACATATCTTCTGAAATGAAAGTGGGATTTATAGTGATGTATCCTTGGCTTAGAAAATAAAAGGGATTGGTCTGAAAATTTGCAACCATTTGAGAGAAATCTGTTGTTAGACATGTATGTGTCAGGTTGTAGGTAAAATTCAAAAAGCATACTATTAGCATGAATTAAATATCCATTTTACTGCCATCTGCTTGCTTTCTCAATGTGCTTCAGAAACAAAACCAAGTAAAAAATCAATAATATCAAACTGCTATGGAAAGGCAGGTTTTCTTTTGATGTTGGAACATCAACAAAAAATGTGATACCTAAATTTTAAAATGAATTTTTAAAAATAAAAAAAGCTTTCTTGAAATTTTTATTTTACTTTTAATTCCCATAGATTAAATTTAACATTTCCAATTATCAAAATGCTTTGCTGCATTTTAAAAAGTAATCTAAATTGACTGGAAGGAGCATTTTTTTTTTTTTGTTAAGTAGCTGGTTAATACTTTTTTTTTTTTAGTCGTCTTTCATCACAATGTAATTCTCTTTATTAAAAAAAAATCTTCCAAAATAAAACATACTTTTCTGAAACTTTACTTATTAGCTGATTTAAAACAAATATTTACTTTAAAGTATAAAATTTTTTACATAAATTTCTCGAAATTTCATAAAATTAAATAAGTTGGAGGTAACAGATTTCAAAAAAAAAAAAATTTTTTTTTTTTTTTTACATAATTTCATTCACTTGTGAATAACTCCTGAAAATTTCTATGCAAAAATTTTCAAAGTAATGTTTAACACCAAAATTCTCTATACTAATCTTGAGCACATCCTTTTCATTTTAGTTTCCTGAAAGTTCCATATCCAAAATGTAAACAAAGTAATTTCTACAGAAATAAGTTTTATTTCTAAATCCAACATATTTCTATCACTTTAAATGTTATTTTAGTGGATACTCATATTTGAGTAGATGCCCTGTTTATTTTAAACAGTATTTTATTTTGTTTACTGGACTGAATATTCAAGAAATCTTATTAAAGGAAAATGAAAAATGTGGGTGAATCCCACAAATATAAATGTCATATTGCCAGCTTGTTAATGTGGAGTGACTGTACCACATTATGCAAGACACAATGTTGGATCAATTCTTTAATGTAGATTTTCTAAAAATACCCGATTTACATCAGTCAAGTTGAAGACAACATTGTAGATTGATTTTCATGTATTAGTATACCAAAACACAATTTTAAGTATTTTGATGATTTTCTTTTTTAAAAGTGGAATTAAATTTTTGTTTTATTTCTTCCTTTTGAGTATCTTTTGAATATAGATCCCTGCCATGGAGTATAGCACCATAGATTATCCAGTCTATGTATTTTGAGTCAATATAGCAAACATTAAATAATACTGCATGCTTATAAACCACGGTAATTGACATTAGAAATAATTGTACAGCATTTGAAGTATACAAATATTGATTGGGATTTAATCTGAGTAAAGGACATCTGCCATCTGCAGTTGAAGTCATTACATTTCGCTTTTGTTCGGAATCATGCTATACTGTTAATTATATATATATATATATATAACATTCATTTATAAAATTGATTTTATTTTCTTTGGTTTATGAAACTGTATAAAATAAGGTTTTAGTTTCATTCAATGTGAATTGATTCACACCCCATGACTATGATCAAAGAAAAATTATTTTTTGGTTGTAATTGTGCAATTGTAAAATCTACTACTATCAA